AGGATAATATTATCAGTCACTGTAATGAAAGGAAAAACTTTCTCAACTGATTGTCATATCTGATAAATGATATTAGTCTAAATATACACAAGCTGTGTTATATGATATATTTGTTTACATATGGTACAACAAACAAATATATATTCAAATATTTTATGACTTTTTAAAAATCTTATTGTATCATACACGTTCAACCCTGAAATGAAGCATTATCAAAGTAAAGTCTCACTGTTGTCATTTGTTTAAATGGAGTCTTTGTTTTCCACTGTGTGAAAGGATTAAATCTAAAGCTTCGCCTCTCTGCTGTGTAACAAGTTTTTCTTTAATTAAACATGCATCACAATGACACACCAGACTGACGTGGTGTTTCCTATTGTCACTGAACCACTCCAACTTGCTATTGTTTGCTATTGCTGCTATTGTTTCCACAGTTCAGAAATTCAACAGCTATGTCCTGTTGAGGCATTTCTAAAACCAGGAACAAAAAAAAGGCGCATTAGCTGGAAACTATTTTCCTTGATGGAGTATTTGGTGTTTGGTGGAACTGGGAGAGGATGACATACAATAAACTACGACTGAATAAAGGGCATTAATGAATTCCTGAAAAATACAACATTATAAACTAAAATGTATCATTATTTCCTCCAATTTTACCTTATTTCAGCTATTTTCTTATAGTATGTGTTGATTGTTTTGTGTGCAGTAACACAGGAAGTGCCCATCATTGATATTTTATCTATAAAAAAACAAACAAATTTAATGCACAGAAAGAATAACCAGACACCATCTTTTAAAGGACATCAGACAGCTGAAACAATGCAAAGCCATGGCCCTGTTTGGTCTTCTTTCAGAGCACTTATAGAGGTCACCATCTGTGTAATCTTTGTAGCTTATAATCCATAAAATAAACAGATCATGATAATAACTGAGGATTTGTAAGCAGCTGCTTGGCTGCTCGGGTTCACTAGAAGACTAAAAAAACTATCAACAGGAAGCACAAAGCCACATCAGAGGGTCAAGGTTTTCTGTTTCACAAACAGTGGGACTGCATGTATGTCATGTCTGTAACGGAGTAACATGCACATACTACCCTGAGAGCAGAGTTTCGGTGCCCCATTAATGCTCTATTGTTAACGCTGTAATTGTGTCTCCCTCAGCAGAGACACCCACATCTTATTTATAACAGACAAGTTGGTCTTTATCTGTTTTCTGTGATTTCTATAAACGCTGTCATTCTCTGCTGCTGGCCAGTTCCACTCTGTTAAGCCTAAACTCTCCATGTGTCTTTGATCCTGTTGTTTGTGATTGCTCCTGTAAGCTGCTTTAGCTGGTAAATGTTTACTGACTGTTAAATGGCTGCGATAATGTGGAGGAACCTCTTTAACGCTGAAGCTTGTTGAGTAAAGCAAAGTTTTGGGGAGCTTCAGGCATCTTCAAGCTTCAGCCTGCTGATTGGTTGGGCTTCTTCTGTGTTCCTACAAGGAGTCTGCAAGCTTTCTTGACGGGTTTCTCCCACAGTCCAAACAGATACGTGTTTGGTGACCTGGTTATTCTAAACTGAGATGAATAATGCAGATTTTTTTCCCTAGTGATTATGATGGTTGAAAGAACTTGCAATATCACAACAATGTCCATATAAATAATTGTCCTTGTGCAAAATGAATGAAGTTCAGAATACAGTAATGGCAAATATTACTGTAAATAATACAAATACAGTCAGATTTTGTGTTGAATTACAGGATGTGGGCAAGTTTGGTTTCTGGAGAAAGGAATCTGTACTTTTATGATCAAACCTGAAAGTTAGAGCTTGATCAGATGAGCTTGAACCATCCCTTAGTTTTGCTGCCTTTAGCGTCAGGATGATGGGGGACTTCCCATGATGCACGATGTGTTTTTACTTTGTATTTCTGATTGTTTTTTACTGTCATTCCCACTCTGATGTTAGGCTTAGGCACTAAAAAGCACTTGGTTAGGACTAGAAAATTATGCTTTGGGTTAACACACAAATAACTTCACAACAATAACCCTGCTTGTTGATAAATGAGGCACTGGAAATCAAAAACTTAGCCCATAACCCAGCACATCAGACACACTAAAGCAGTTTAACAAAACAGCATTAACTGATGTCAAGGGGACAAGAGCAGTATGTGTTCGTAGAAATCGAGTTTGTTGTTCCCACAATTAAAAATTTAACAGTGCAACTGTTGAGTTCATTCACGAATCTTAAACTAGAATACTTCTAAATGTCATTCAGGCATAAAAAAGGAAATCATAAGCACAACTGCAAGAAAGAAATGGACTATTTTGCCTGCAGGATCATTTTTCACATGCACAAAAAAGGTCACTGCAGCCCCTGCCCCCCCTCCCCCCCTCGGAGTCACATATTTGTTTAACTATCAGTATTTTTTGGTTCAGTGAGTCCTGCAGTCTGGCGATCTGTACCCCATCTCTCACCCTACAGTAGCTCGAATAGGCTCAATTTTACACCCACTCAAAGTGTCACAGTTGTCTTGTGTTCAGTGCAGTATCCTCATCTGCTGGCCGACACTCAAATTATCCACCGAGACCTTTCGTGACTGGGCACCGCGGTGGTTAGCACTGTTACCTCACAGCAAGCAGGTCCTTGTTTCAAATCCACGGGGTCTTTCTGTGTGGCGTTTGCAGTTCCTGCTCGTTTCTGTTCCACTGCGTCACAGAGATTAAACTGGTGAAACTTTGCTCTTGAATGCAATCATGCTCTCGGTTAAAGAATAATTCTGAACAACATAAGAGTTGATGGCGTAAAACTGATTTGGATGCAGTTTTAACAGAGCTTTTTTTTTCATACTTAAAAATGTCATGTGGATATCTTCTGTTCTTATGACGTTACAAAAAAATTATTAAAATTATTTCTTGGTATGAAGGTAAAATTTTGCACGGCTTCAATAAATACACTAAAGTTTTGTACAGAAAAAAAGTGGCAGGTAGGGTCTGAGGGGGCAGGTGGGAACTTTTTCTAGATTTGGTTTATTTTATTTTGAATTAACATACAGTGATTAGCCATTCAAAAAAACCACATCAATTCATGTGCAGGCCAAGTTTCGGTTTCAGTCGGGTCAAACTGTCACGCCGCGCTAGCCCTCTTTAGTCAGTATACAGCTAATTCACTGGAGGTCTCCATCTCCTGAGAGCGTAACATACCCACAGTTTAATATTTGTGGGTTTGATACACTTTCCATGATTGCCTCGCTGTTATGTATCTTGGTTAACAGCAGGATGTACTCACAAACACAGCCAGATTTTACCAGAAATCTGGAGTGTATGTGGTTTACATCTTTCTACTTTCACTCATTTACTGAGAAAAGCTCATATATAGCTATGGCCTCAGCCCACCACAAGCCTTTGACCTGGTTTCCCTTCCTGGGAAATGGATTTGGTGAATTCTGTATCTGTGTTGAAGTTGCTGTTTCTCATGGCAGCAATGCTTTTTTTGTCACATGATGAAGTGGTCACATTTGGTCCAACTCCCAGTTCCCACGAAACCATTTCAGGGGCCGTGTTCTGCTCCCTTGAAAGCCTTCGATCTTCAGATTAGATACTGAGAAAGCCTCGCACAGTTTAGAAAAAGAAATTGACCTCTGACATTTTCTCTAACTTCTTATGTTTCCCACGAACGCAATCATACCCAGAAAGCATGTTTTGCTAAAATCTTGAGAGGGCCTTACTGGTATAAAAAGAGTTGGTGGGGGGCAAATTCTCCTACCTCCTCCTTCTGCATTTTAGCAACGAGACATGTTTCATGACAAACTGGGGTTGATTGTCTGTTCCTGTTGAATCAGGTTTGTATAGAAAAGCATGGCCAGGTTTCTAAGTTTTAAGAAATATGTAAACAAGGTTTGCAATTTCTGCTGCTACCATTTCAGAGGTATTGCAATAAAAATAATTTTAGCAATAAAATAAAATGAATCAACAGACTTGAAATTATTCAAGAAACCACTGAAAGTTTCTACAAGAACCCCAAGAAATGTGCAGATATTACTCGAGTTTGACTCTCCAGCTGTCTGTTTGTTTTAGATTCAATTTTAAGATTTAATTTGTCAGTCTTTGGCCGTACCAATTGTTTTGGCATAACTTTTTCCTGCTTTCTGTGTCAACAGATCACAAAGCTTTGAGTTTTTGATTCCTAAAACAGAGTTTTGTTATCTTCTGCTGTCTTAATCACCGTCACATTTTACTGTGAGATGGCATCATTCAGTCTGGCAGTGTCTTTGACACCATGACTAACTTGGTTGGTCAGTGAGTGCACTGAATCTCAACTAATCACTTGGTGGCTTGGGGTGGTTTTGATCACAAGGGAGTTGCTAAGGTCACCTGCTGGAGGTGACCGACTAGAGTAACTTAGACTGCCAACACACTGAATGCATGCGTCTCTTTTTTG